GAACCCAAGACCTCCTCATTATTTTTAAATGACAAACCACCACTTCTAGTTTAATTTCTGTGTATTTGAACCAAACTTTATAAATTTATACTCTTATAAAAACATATATAAATATACCACCCTAATAATTTTGGTGCCCCTAATTTTTTAGGGCCCTGGACGGTCGCCCTGCCTGCACTGGGCCTGAGCCGGCCCTGACAAGAGATTGGACTTCACCATCTCCGTCCAGCATGAGTTTCGAAAAAGCTACTTTGTTGCAGACGCCTTAGCTACTATATTTCCGCCAGCGGATATGCTTCGATGTTTCCCTGGGGATTTGTTCTTTTAGCCATGTCTTGTTTTCTTCAGTTTCCGTAATCTTTATGGTTCAAAGTTCCAACTTCTTCAGTTTCAGCAGAACAAGTCCTTTGAACATTGCTTGGATGGACTTTTTTCAACACCGAGAAGAAGAAGCAACCACTCGACGTTACCATTTCCGGTTCCAACTCCGCCCTGCCGAGCTTGGCTCTTTCTTCTCTTTCCGTCTTCATCTTCTTCTTGTGGAGGTCCCTCAGCACATATGCTTCAGCAAAACCATAGCCTACCGCCGACATGCCGTAGAGTTTTTGGTGTTGAATTTGGGGAAGAAATATGGGGAAATTGTAATCGATGGGAAGTATTCAGAGGGTGATGAGATTAGTATATTTATAGGAGGTTTATGCTTTCTTGGGGAGCACGCAGTCATCTTGCTTTTTCCGATTTGACCGTTGACGGATTTGCTTATGCCGGCTTTGAGTCTTGACTTTGCAACCTTTGGAGTGGCAAAAGACGAAATTGCTTGTTGGTGATTTTAAATGGCATAAGATTTTATCAAACTATAACGGGTTTGCGATGCACTGCTAAACATATTAATATTATTTTAATTTTTTGTTTAAATTTTACTACTAATAGGTATGGAATAAAATTTGAAACTATTATAATAATTTAGGAGATACGGTAGTTTCAAATTCTGAAGACATAGATAGAAACCCAACACTCTATTATCTCAACTTAATCACTTGCATAATTTTATAGATATTATAATTTATTCCAGAAGTCACAGTGCAATTAGGAGTAATACCATTACGTATAGATTGTGACTTATTTTGTTTGAAGTTTTGGATGTAAGACTCTATTTTTCAACATTTTATCAATTTATATTATTGTATAAATGCAACGAAATTGGGTTCATCTTACAGATGTGGAGGAAAAGATGAGTGAATCTTCTTATCTTAAACGAAAAAAGAAAGATAATAGTGATGATGAGCTGTATGGTTTGTACTAAAACAATTGTTGTTACGTGAAGTGGATATAAAATGACGGTTTCTGTGATGATCAAATTATAAAAACTAAAAAGTTAACGTGTGACACAAGTCATGTTAGTGGGTCAAAATCATTGGGGTTTTTTTTTTCTTCGTGTAAAAAGCTAGTTAGTTGGGTACCCACAATTGTTGAGTAAACGAGAAGTTTACAATAAGATGCCCTTATTAATGGTTCTCTCCCTTTCAAAGAAATGACCACTTTTGACAAGTTGTTATCGTCTAATTCTTTTAGAGAAGTGTTATTAATACTTCAAAAATCTTATTCTATATTCCTCACAAGTATATTTTTCTTTCTAAATATAAAAAGTTAGGAGTGTAGAATGAAAATTTTAGAGTGCTAATAATAATTCTCTTCTTTTAATTCAATTTATTCTTTCATGTATTCGAATTTTTCTCTTTAAATTTTTGTTTAAATTCACGATCAAACTTTAATTTTGAGTAAGTCAAATATATAATAGAGCGAACTATTCAAATTTTGAATTTCTTTTTTATTTTCATTATCACTTGAAGATCTATTTGATTTTTTTTTTTTGGGATAAAAGTACTTAAAAAAAAATTAGAGTACATAATTGTGTGATTCTTGTGCATTAAGCATGAAGTTCAGTTGTTGGACAAAGCAGTAGTGTTGGGAATGAATCCCACACATTGATGGGAGGAGGAAACTTGTATGGGCTTATAAGGTCATTTCTAAATTCTAACTGAAAGAGTTAAATATAGTCCCGTCTAGAATTATAGCTCTGCATAAAATCACTTTTTAATGAATAGTGTCAAGTCATATTCATATACTATCTCCAACCAAATAGGCTAAACGTAACCCCTTAATAATTTATTAGTTTTAAATTTATTCTTAAATTTATCAATTAATTTAAGGGTTTTTATCACAAATGGTCCCTGAAATTGATCCTTACCATCAAGATGATCCTTGAAATTAAAAATCAATTAATGTAGTCCCTGAAAATAGGTGTCATAAATCAATGTGGTCATTCCGTCACAATCTGTCAAAAATTCTGTTAAGTGATGATGTGGCATATAAATGGGCCCCACAAGATTTATGGGTTTTTTTTTTATAATTTTTTATAATTTTTTTTATCACAAAGAGTCCCTGAAATTGACCCACAACATTAGGATGATCCTTGAAATTGAAAATGTAGTCCTTGAAAGTAGGTGTCGCAAATCTATATGATCCATTCGCTACAATTTTGTAAAAAAAAATTTGTTATGTGCTATTGTGGGTTTAATAATTAATAAAAAAAAAGTTGTCTAAATACCTATTTGCACAATGAAGTTTTTTTTCTTATAGTAGGGCCTACTCCGAAGAAACATCCCTTCCATAAATTCTCAAAGGCACAAGGCTTAACCAAGACCTAAGAGGGGGTATGGAAATAGTTTTCAACCAACAATAGAGGTACCTCGGTTATAACCTCATTATCTCAAGGCAGACCTCACCGTTGTTTGCATCACCAAACAACCAGGGAAGTGCCGAACAAGCTTTCCAAGATTAAAGTTGTGAGGATGTTGATCGCCTAAATGTTAATAGTGGTGTCTCAGAAGTACAATCGGCTAAGCCGTCACCACAGGTGATCTCGATCTAGTTCAATTCAGTGAAGGGTGTCAAAGTGTGTAAATATGAGTTTATTGAGATTTTTTTTAGAGAATAGAAAGCAAAAGAGGTAGAGAAATGTGGACTCGGATCAGATGTGATTGTAGGACTGGGTTTTTGGGTTGACAATTTTTTTTATTAACTATTAAATTATTAAGCCTATTTGTAATTTTTTTTAAAATTTAATTAGACTTGTGTGACCCATTAATGTGTCACATCAGCACATAAATTTTTTTTTGACAAAATTGTGACAGAAAGACTACATTTATTTGAGACACTTACTTGCGGGATTACATTGATCAATTTTCAATTTCAGGAACCATTTTGATGTCGCATGTCAATTTCAAGGACCATTTTGATATTGCAGGTCAATTTCAAGGAAAATTTGCAAGAAAAAAGGACTTATGAGGCCCATTTATGTGCCATATCAGCACTTCACAAAATTTTTAACAGAATTGTGATGGAATGACCACATTGATTTGCGACATTTATTTTCGGTGACTACATTGATTGATTTTCAATTTCAATGACCATCTTGATGGTGAGGGTCAATTTCAGGGACAATTTTTGATAAAAACCCTTATTTTAATTAAACTACTAATAATTATTCAGAGCTGAAAAAGAGGTTAATTGCACAACAATCCCAAGTACATGACAAAAACGTGTGCATGCTCAGCTCCCCAAAACACTCTTAAACAAATAAATATAACATAAATGTAAATTATAGTACCAATTAGTACCAACCCTAGCCGTTGGATCTATCCAACTCATTGCAGCTGCATCTGGTAGGGCCCAGAAAATGGGCTGGGTACCAGGCTAACCTTGCCCAGCTCGATAGCCTTTTGGCCATGTTTTGGCCTGGGTGGCTCCACTATTTTTTTGGCCCAGCATTCGATTGAAGATGGATTTTGTCCAAATCAGGTCCTATAACCCTTTAGCCCGCTCCATTGGAGATGACCTACGTAAGTTGGGCTACTCTTATATTGCGAATTGGATTTATGGTGGAGCCTCAACTTTCTACATGGTATCAAAGCAGGTTTGCCACGTGTGAAACCCAACGGCCGCATGTGCTCCACGTCACCCCATTTGTGTTGTCCACATGTTAGGCTTAAAAATTCGCCGCATGTGAGGGTGTGTGTTGAGAATGAATCCCACATTGAAGGGAGGAGGGACCTTGCATAGGCTTATAAATAAGTTGGGCTACTTCTTATATTGCCAATTAATTTTATGGTAAAACCTCAACTTCCTATACATAGTGGTTTGATTCCTTTCTCTCTTTACCATTCTACATTTCGTTTGTTACTTGTATTTGTTTTCTACTTTTCTACATGCGTGTTTTGCATATTATATGTCGTCTTTGAAGGGGATTAGAAATGGGATGAATTTATTCTATTTATCTGTTCAATATTTATGCCTTCCTCATTTATTTATTATTGGAGAAAACAGGCCCAAAAGTGAAACTTCCCCACGTACTATATCTTCATTTAAATAATTTTCTACCAAGTTTTCTAAAATGTCTTGTTTCCTAAGAATTTTCTGATAGCTTTTTACTATACTTTTTAAAGTTTAGTTTGCTGAGATTATATATTTTAAAGAAGAGAGGAATCAAACTGCGTTTGAACTATAAAAGTTGAGAAAGTTATGGAATTAGGAAGTGAACCATCGCAACGATATGGGTTAAATAGTGTTGTCTTGGCTTGGTTTGATTATTTTGCCTTTACTTTCTTTGTGTTTTATATCTTTTTTTCCTTTAATTTTTTGGTGATAATTTTGGTCTCACTCTTAATGTCAATAAATGTACTGAGATGCCTACGAGTTAACCATTCATATATTGCAGATCGATACAACAATAACAATAACAAAGCCTTTTCCCATTAAGGGTCAGTTTGGGATTACTGTGCTTTTTTAATAAACTGCTTCTACAGTGCTTTAAGAATAATCAGCTGTAAAATAAAGTTGATAAGCATTTGGTTAACTGAATTTTAAAAGTGTTGTAAGTATGAAAAACAACGTAAAAACGTTTGGTAAAATTTAATATAAAAGTGATATAATTGTATACAATGACAAATAGACATAGTAGTAAGAGTGGGGGCAACGACAACAGTGATGGTAATGGTGGTGGTGGTTGTGGTGGAGGTGTGGTGGTGGTGCTAATAGTGGGATGTGTTGGTTGGGTGGAGAGGTAACAATGGTGGTAGGATGGTGGTAGCACCGGTAGTGTGGTTGTGATTGCAGTGGCAATGGTGGTTGTGATTGCAGTGGCAATGGTGGTGGTGGGCGGCAATGATGGTGGTAGTGGGAGTTGCGGTAATGGTGGTGGTGGAATCGATGGTGGTAACAATGGTAGTAGTGGTGGTTGTGGCAATGCTAGCGGTGGCAGTAATGATGGTGGTGACAATGTTGATTATGGTGACTGTGGTGGAGGTTATGGCTAAGGCGGTGGTGGTGGCAAAAATGGTGGTTGTAGCGGCGGTGATGGTGTATGGTTAGTATTAGTAGTGGTAGGTTGTAGCATTTACTTTATTCTATAAAGGATAAAATATGTGTGGAAGGCTAAATAATGTCATTTAAAAAAATTAATGAATGTACAACAATTGAACATATTTATTAAAGACCTAACTTTACTTTTTATTAAAGTATCTTTTAAAAGCAACCTACAGATTGCTTTTAAAAGTTGTTGTCTAGAGCCCATTGTTTTTAAAATAAGCAGGACATTTTACTTTACCAAACACATTTTTATTGCTTAACTTTAAAGTGAAGCAGTTTTTAGTGAAAAAAATAATATATCAAACGGGCCCTAAGTGAGATTGGCTATATGAATCCTAGAATGCCATTGCGCTCGGTTTTGTACCACGTCTTACGTTAGATCCAAGTACTCCAAGTCTTTTCTTAGAGTATCTTTCAAAGTTTTCCTAGGTCTTCCTCTACCCCTTCAGCCCTGAACCCCTGTCTCATAATTGCATCTTCTAACCAGAGCGTCTGTATGCCTTCGTTTCACATGTCCAAACCATCGTAACCAATTATCTCCCATCTTTTCTTCAATTTCGGCTACTCCTACTTTACCTCGGATATCCTCATTTCGACTCTTATCCTTTCTCGTGTGCCCACACATCCAACGAAGCATTCTTATCTCCGCTACACTCAATATATGTTAATGCTTCACCGCCCAATATTCCGTGCCATAAAGCATTGCTGGCTTTATTGCCGTCTAAATTTTTCCTTGAGCTTTGGTGGCATATGACGGTCACACAACACACCAAATGCACTCTTCTACTTCATCAATCTAGCTTGTATCTATGGTTAAGGTCTCCATCTAACTCTCATTTCTTTTGCAAGATAGATCCTAGGTAGTGAAAACGGTTGCTCTTTGGTACTTCCTGATCTTCAATCCTCACCCCTAACTCATTTGAGCCCTCGTTCGCATTGAACTTGCACTCCATATACTTTGTCTTTGACCGACTTAGGTGAAGACCTTTAGATTCTAACACTTCTCTCCAAAGGTTAAGCTTTGCATTTACTCATTCTTGAGTTTCATCTATCAACACTATATCGTCTGCAAAAAGCATACACCAACGAATATCATCTTGAATATGTCCCTTTAACTCGTCCATTATCAATGCAAAAAGGTAAGGACTTAAAGATGAGCCTTGAGGTAACCCTACAGTTATGGGGAAGCTTTCGGTTTGTCCTTCATGAGTTCTTACGGTAGTCCTTACTCTATCATACATATCCTTATAGTTTGGATATATACTACTCGTACTCTTTTCTTCTCTAAAATCCTCCAAAGAATGTCTCTTGGGACCCTATCATACGTTTTTTTTTCCAAATCTATAAAGACCTTGTGCAAATCATTTTTCATATCTCTATATCTTTCCATTGATCTTTGTGAAAGATAAATTGCCTCCATGGTTGAGCGCCCTGGAATGAACCCAAATTGGTTGTCTAAGACCCGTGTCTCTTGCCACAGTCTATACTCAATTACTCTCTCCTAGAGCTTCATTGTATGACTCAATAACTTAATACCCCTTTCATGTAATTTTATATGTCACCCTTATTCTTCTAGATAGGCACCAAAGTGCTCTTTGTTTTGAAAATCTTATTGAAAAGGTTTGTGAGCCATGCTATTCTTGTCTCTCCCAAGACCTTCCACACTTCAATCGGTATATCATCTGGGTGCACTGCTTTTCTATGCTTCATCTTTTTCAAAGCTACAACCACTTCTTCCTTCCTAATTCAGCGGTAGAGGGAGTAGTTTCTACACTCTTTCGAGTTACTCAACTCCCCCCAAAGAAGTATTCCTTTTGTGTCCTTCATTGAAAAAATTATGAAAATAAGCTCTCCAACTGTCTTTGACTGCGTTCTCTGTAGCAAGAACCTTTCAATTCTCATTCTTGATGCACCTCACTTGGTTCAGGTCTCACTTGGTTCGGTTCTTCCTCATCTTAAGCAATTTCTTATCATTTTTATTCCTTAGAGATTATTAAGTTTGTGAAAATATGTAATTTAAATTTAATCATAAAAAACCCAATGCAACTTCAAAATTATGATTTTATTCAGTACTTGATTTAAAGGGATTGTAATTTTTTTGCATAAATTTGTTTATGGTGTTGCAACCAAGTATGTTGTTTGCAATAACAATTCGAGAATTTAATTAAAAACTAGCCGTCCCTTGGGGCATCTGATAAAATTGAAAACTAGTCTCTCTGCACATGTCATTAAAAACTAAGCTGTTGAATAAAAATTAGCGCTTAGCTTGCGTGAATAAAAATTTGTAAATCGCGCGTAGCGCACCGTGATAAAAGAAAAGTCTTTCACATGTGCAAAAGCGCATGCATGAATGCTAGTTTTTCATTTATGTGAAAAGATGTCAATAATGATGTATATAAACTAGCTCCCAACTCAATTAAAACCCAAGGCAGAAACACACAATACTGAAGTTACGTAACAATTATCACCGTACCTAGAATTCCAAAATATTACAATTCAATTAGTTAGGGTTTTTCCGATTCATCCATGAGGTAGGAGTAAAAACACTAAGAGAGATAGGATAAATACAAGAATTACAAGTTCAATCAAACTTTAAACTTTATACTCCAAATTCTCAACTTGTTCACAATAAACAACTAAACTTTATGTTCGATTCAAGTTCCATTTTCTGCAGCTTCAGCTGAACTAGAGCCATGAACATTGCTACGACGAACTTTCTGCAACACCCACGAACAACACGAACAACAACCCTTGGACTGTACCATTTCGGTCTTTCCAGATTTAGTTGTGCCCGACTCCACCCGTTCTTCTCTTTCCATCTTCATCTTCTTCTTGTGGAGGTCTCTCAGCACATGTGCTTCAGCAAGACTATAACCAGCAGTAGACATGGCCTTGAATCTTTGTAAATTAGTCAAGTGTTTTTTTGGACTTGATTTTTCTTTCCTTTTTTGTAAAGGGCATATTTGATTGGAACTATGAGGTGTTGTATTTATAACGTTTATGATGCGCCTTGGAGAGCAAGAAAAGATATGAATATGACAATATTGGCAATACATTTCTTTTTCAGTTTACTGTTGACTGGTGGACTTTTGAAGTTAGCAGCCAAAGCCAAAATGGGTAGCTTGCTTACCAAGGAAAAGACTTTCTCTCACAAAAGGAAATTACGTGACCATTTCCTATATATATGCTTTTCTTTGTAAAAAACAAAGTTGCGTACATTGCGCTAACAAGTGAGTGTGCAATGGTGAGAAAACCATTCAAGTTAGAAGTAAAGAGGCCTATTCTAGAAGCGAGTATGAGAAGAAGCCTCGTGGGCCTATTGGACCAAGCCTTCCTGTGGAAGAATGATCCCCATCATAACGGTAGGTCAGCCTTTAAGTTAGGAGAGTTTTTTTACTGTGCCGGAAACATGGCCTGGTACACCAATAGCGCGTTTACGTATCCGTAATCGGAATGAGAATGTGGAATTGAATTTCGATTACGGAATACTCCGGTGGTTAATAAACATAGAGGAATCAAAAAAGCAGTGGAGCCCACACAAATTTTGGAATTCAATTCCTTGTATTGGTGGAATTGGATTCCCTAGATATATGTGGTAATCCAATTCCTAATTATTGGGTAATCGGAATGACACTTTTGTTCCCTTTATGCCCTCACTTACTTTTTTTATTTCCAAGACTATCCTTTATAAACCCATTAAAGTATATAAAATATTTGATTTGGGACAAGGGCATTTTAGTAATCATACTGGTTTATATTCCGATTCTGTTGAATTAGTAAACAGCTTTATGGAATTCTATTCCTATTCTAGAACATTTAAGTAAACAGCTTCAACAGGAATCTGATTCTGACTCCTCCTCATTCTAACTCCTCCTCAATTCAATTCCTCATATTTTCATTACCGTTACGTAAACGCGCCACAAGTGCCATAATACAAGGGGTTGGATACTTAAAAAAATTTCCAACCACTTGTATACTAGTGTACTGGGCCATGTTTCGGCAAATTGAAAATTGTCTCCTAAGTTAGGTAGCACCCTCCTTCGGTGGTAATTGCTTGAGTTAACTTCACTCCCCAGTTGCATTTTCTATGCAACTCCCATGTATCTAGTTGGACTTCTGTCTCGTTTTTTAAAACGAAATGAACTCTTAAACCTTGTTAAATGGTGTTTTAATTTTGCTGGTCAGTTCTTAATGTTCTGACAATATATTTACAATTGATGCTTAACTTCACCAGCTCATTTAATTTTTTCTCTATTATGCAGATTAGTAGCTGGGATGAAAGACGCTGTAATCGTTGATCAATTTTTCGACCAATCCACTGGTGTATCGTCCCCGAGAAAACGTTATGATTACCAAAACCAATCAATCCTTGCGGGTTAAGTTTTTTATTTTTTATTTTTTTGGGCAAATTGCGGGTTAAGGTTAGCCAGTGTGTGTGCAGCCTGGAACAGCAAAGGTGCAGCAGCAGCAGAAGATGCACAATGCAGTGAGCTCCAAAAAATTCGTTTGTTTCCAATGTGCCAAAGCGGAAAACTGGTTTGTGCCTCTGAGGAATGGTTTTTGATTAATGCCTTTATTGGAGGTGGTTGTCAATCTGCAGTTGCAGTGGTCAGCCATCGTTGATATTGTTTTCTGCACATGGAAAGAAGAATCCAACATTACTTTTATTTGTTGTTTATGGATTATCATTTTATACCTCTCATTTACACACTCATAAGAAGCCTACCTACCATTAGGACCTTCGCTTTCCCTCCGAACAAGGACAACGTGGACTCTGGAATTTGCCGCAGGGCGATTTGCACATGGATGATTTCTAACCGTAGATGCATTGTCGGCCTTGTTTTAGTTTTGGAGCTGGCGTGCATTTGCGGTCGGGAACTTTGCATTATTCACGCCCGACTGATCCTAGGACTCTGAAATATCAGGGATTAATCATGGAAATTGACTG